AACGTAACAGGTTTTGCGGCTCCCGGTTGGCCGCTACAACATGTTGCTTTCGGCTGCGCTTCATCTGTGGGGCAAGGGGCAACCCACAAAGCGCGAGTAGGCTTGTAGCGATTGCACTTTCACTGTGGATGCCAGCAAGGCTGTTCAGACCTGGGTCTCACACTTTTATTCCACGCCCTCAGCGTCACCCGCTCTCCTTGAGATCTTCTCTATTGCTCCTCATACTGTCACTCACTAGCGTAACTTGAGCCAAAACACAACAGGATCAACCGTGTTTCCAGGCGACCATTCGCACTGTACGTCAAGGGGCTATTCCGGCACACCAGATGCGGAGCAACATCGCTTGTGCTCAGAACTTTGCTGTGAACTCAGGTGACCAATGACAAGCAGTTGCTGCTTACAGCCAACTCCGGACACACGAAGGAGCCAGCGGGCATACAAGAACACCGTCCGTGAGCTAGCGGGCCCCAACTACTCACGCTAGCGGCCCCCAACGAGCTACTCGCCTTCAACCACGCACATTCCGCACCCCCCTCCCCCCTCCCCCTCAACACCGCCTCTGCCCCCCCACCATGTTCGATGCCCAGTGGCTCTGCCCAACTAGCAGCCCAGTTCCCACTCCCCCGTACGCAGGCCAGCTCGCTCCGGCCGCCTCGCCAATCACTTGTGCCCAGGCTGCTCAGCCCAGGCCCCTTGTGCCCCGCATCATTTGCTCCAGCCCGCATTTGTTCCTCTGGTTCTTTTGGGCCTGGCCGAGGACTGCACGCGCAGCGATTGCAGCGAGAAGAAATAGAAACACGTGTATGTCCGCCGACAAAGCCAAAGTCACGAAGTCGTTCGCACAAGCTGTGCAAAACACCAATCACAATCTATGGACGAGACTCAATGAGCCCTCCTCTACACGTCGCTGAATCTGCCGAGTCAAGTCGGGCACGAACACCTTGTAGACATATCCTTGCTTGCAGCAAGCGCAAAGCCTAGTTGCTGCAGAAAGGACTCCGCGAAAAGATTCAGAAAACCTGGCGAAAAAGGGCTCTCTCCAAATCCGGCGCAGCTCCACACCCACTTCTGGGGCCGGGGCTGGCCTTGTACCCTTGAAACTCGTACTGGAAAAAAATCGCACCCTGCGTCATTTGGCTATGGGTCACAAAATAGGTACCCAAAACGGCTTGCCCTGGCGAATGGAAAAGAAACACGGACTAAAACCTGCCGGTTTCCTGGTTCCACCCATTTCCCCCATTTCCCCCATTTAACACGAGGCGTCACGAGCGCCAAAGGGCCCAGAAGGTCGGGGTTGCCGCCGTTGAGCACCACCACGCTGGCCTCCGCCAGCTGGCGCATGAGCCTCCAAGCCCGCGGATCCCAACGAGGATTCGGTTGGTATCGACAAAGGCGAGGAGACCTCTTTGGAAGCCAAAAAAAAACCGAGGGAAACCACGTTTGGTATCCAAAAAAGGCAACGAGAAAACCGGTTGGTGTCCCTAGGCTGAAAAGGCTCGACCGACTCGAAGTACAGGCGCCAGGTGCTGACTGGCTTGGGCGCGCGCGTTTGGAGGCACTCATGGCCCTTCGGCACCGAGCCGTTCAACGCCTCACGGCAGATTCTTTCTGTGACTTTGGGCCTGTTAACTTGCTGCTCAGGGAATGACAACGAGTGCAAGTGTTGGGAATGAACCGAGAGGATTCCCGAATCAAGGAAAGCAAATCGGAAATTGGATGGTTTACTGGGGTCATTCCATGTCTCATTCCCTGCTGAGCACTAGCAAGTTAAGGTACCCCCCCAAAAAAGGGGAAAGAAAGAGGGCACCCACGAAAAGGACAGATCCACCGCGCTTGAGACCTGATTCCATGGATGTTCAGCCAAGCGGCCTGAGGCGCGATGCCCTGTGCTTGCAAACGCAGCAGCGCCTGCAAATTAAAAAGAAAAATAGAAAAGAAGAAACAAAACTGGTAAACTCTTACCAAAGCACGATGCCTTTCAATGTTGATAGTTCTTCTTTGGCGCGCCTGGCCTTCTTCTGCTCTTGAGTTGCACACGAATCAAAAGCCGATACCTTGGATCGGCACTGTCAGCCGCAGATACATCCACCACATCTGGGGGTTGATCAATATTCCCTTTGGCCCCTCGTATCTTTCTAGGGGTTTTCCAACCAATGGTCATCCCATGTCCATCGGACCTTTTGATCAACCCTCATGTGAGGATGGCAGATTGCCATGTCTGGCTTGGACCTCACACCGCATGTTGGTCGAAGCTGCATGCATGATGTCACTGCCAACGAGATCTCGCAACTCGTCGCTGCGGATCCTCAATGGTTGTCAAATGATGTCCATCAAAAATTGAAACTCATTCCAACTTATCAATCACTGCGGTTCATCCACGCACTGAATCAATGGCGCGCGTCCATCCAGCGTCCAAGCCGGCGAAGCCATCGGTGGCCTCTCTCACCAGCTCGACGCTGGTCCGGATGCCTCACATGAACCATTTGGCTGGTTTTCTATTTAGGGACCTTTTGGTGGGCATCATGTTAGGTTCACGGTCATGATGTTGATGGGGGACCGTTTGGTGGACAACAAAGATGATTGGATTGCTAGCCAAACAGCTTGCCTGTTCCCAACCAAAAAAGGACATCGCCATATTGACTTTTCCCCACCCAACACTTTGGGACGTGTTCCCAGCTAAAAGCCGTTTATAGCCGTAGCCATGGTTCGACTCTCGGGGGCCAAGCACGTCATCTCAACAAGCTCCCTTCCATGGCCTGCTTTGCCGTAGTTCAGCGCCTCTGGACGAGCAAAGTCTGGGCTGGAAGCATCCCAGAACGCCCTCATGAGCCAGGCCCCGTCTTCCAGGGACAGGACCTCGGGAAAGCCGGGCCCGGGGAAAACGCGAACAAAAGCCTCCCGCGCCTTCGGCGGCTTGCCTGGCATCCGCATCATTTCCCTGAAGGCTTCCTGAGGGCAAAAGCAGGCAGCTTTTCGGCGACCGGCACGGCTGGCGGAGGAAAGGAGGCGCCTTGGAGTCGTCTTCCAGCCCGGAGCTCGCCAACATCACCAGTGACCGGGGATTTGCATGACCTCAGAATCGCATGGACCTTCTGTTGCTGCCATCTGCATTCTTCTTCCGAGCTGCACTGAGGGGCCGAGGGTCTCCCAACTCGAACCTTCAGGCGGCACCAGAGCCGGACTTGCAAGTGGACATCTTAGCACCAATCGCAGCACTCATGGCTCCCTACATTTCCCCAAAAGGAAACTCGCTCTTGAACTTTAGCCGGTAATCCGTGGAACTGTCCAAAAGGAGATGCTGGAAAACCGCCAAAGAGGGGAAATATAGGGAACGCTGCACTTGCGTATCTGAGAAGCTCGCAAGATTTGGCCTTGGAGGCGTATAAGCCTTATAGGCGAGTTGATAGGCCTGGCAGCAAGTCCGTCAACTGACCCAGTCAACAAATGACCTCCTTTGCAGACTGCACGACTCACAAGTTGCAAGTCATTGGGGGATATACGTGGCGTGATTCTTCAAGTGCCGTTCGATCAACTGGACTTGGTTGACCTGCGTGCGTTGTGGCCTGCTGTTGTACCAGCCTTGAAGATTCGCGGCAAGTGTTCGGTGGGCAAGTCGAAAATATCGGGTCCTGAACACCGCATAGCGCGTTGACGCAAGCAAAAATCCTGCTCCAAACTTTGAAATGCCTCACCTTCCCGGGATGTCAGCCCAACCATGCTGCATTGCCCTTCATCACATGCCAACCCATCTCCTTGGCTGGGGCAAGGAGCCGGCTAACATGCTGCCCCCGCTTTTTGGCGCCAACGAGTGGCCATTCTTCAGCAAAACCACCGTTTGCCTCTTTGCTTCCGCAAGCACCCTGGCAGGGATGTTCCAAACCAGATTCCTCAGCTGCCCATGCCATATGATGTTGCCTGCCCCAATGCCTGAAAGCCTAAAGCCTAAAGCCTGGGCGCTTTTTGACATCCAAGATGCCCGTAGTGGGGTCGTATAGCACATTGGCCCGCCAGGGACAGGCCAGATGTGTCGCGGAGTAAAACCTGTGCCTCCGGCTTCGGCTTGACAAACGTGGCCACGGAAAATCCCGTACCCCCAGTGAACATCCCAATCGCCACTAAAATAGGTTCTAAAATGGGTGGTGCACCTACCCCAAAATGGTGCCATTGGTTTTGACCCACAGCCATGTCCAAATCAGCACAGGACACAGCGAAGCCAAAGTGCTAACAGTGGATTGGGCTCATAGGTGTAGGCAAAGTCTCGCGAAGCAGCCATTGACCCTGCACTCCTCTGCTGGCAAACATGTAGCGAGGAACAGATGCATGCACCGACACAACGAAGAATGCATTGTTTTGTATCATCCCCCCCATCCATTATTTAAAAGAATCTCACACAAGAAGCAGAGCAAACAACAAGGGACAAAATCATGCGACGGTCCCGCCCACGTAGATCAGGTTTCCAGCACGCACACGATGCGCAATCATCTTGCCCAGCTGGGGCGCGAATTCCATCAAGGCAAAGCCTTAAAACGACGCTTGCCGGTGGCAACTCTGTCCATCAAAACTCAACCAAAAGCAGCGAAAGAAGAACACGGCCAAGCTGCCGATCATGTCTGGGTTTCCGCCGTTGAAGAAGATCACGCTAGCCTGCAAGCTGAAGCTACCTGTCTGTTTCCGCCAGCTTCACAGGTACGCTTGTGAAGGTCAGATTCGGAGTCTTGCTATGCTTGACCGCTATTGCTACCGCTCTATTCTGTCTTGCTTGAAAAACACCTTCTCGGAAACTGCTTGCCGCCTTACTGTGCTGCCTTGGCTCGAGGAATGATTGTTCAGCGAGGTATCCCAAACTGATCTTCGCCGCCATGAGTCGCTCAACACTTTTACCGGTGTTTGCCAAGTAAGCTGGACAAAGGTACCACCCTCCCAAATGCACATCTAGCCCGACGCTCGGGGGCCTGGAAGACCGATTCATGTTCCTTTTTAGAGGGACCCTCAGCTTCGGAGCTGTGCTCTCCAGGCGAAACCCGAGCCACACGCTCACACCGCTTCACGCTCCAGTCCCTCACGATAGGATCAACTGGTTTGCCATCGAAGCGATGCAACTTCTGATTCATCGAAAATGGTTTCGAGGCTCAGCCCATGTATGTGGGTGTGCTTCCTTTTGGGGGGAACTCCCAAAATGATGTTCCTTTTGGCGTCCCTCTAAAAAGGATTCTCTCGTTGAAAAGAGACAGCACGTGGCGTTTGCAGACCAGGACATGCAAAGCGCAGTCTTCACAGCCATCCCCAGCAGCATGCCGGCCGACGCCTCGTTCAGCATAGCTTTAAACCTTGCATGATTGCATTGTGTGTGTGCAGGTCAAGTGAATGATCAGCCGTCAAAAACTATGCTCGCAAAGCCCGCGTACATAGCAAAAATTGGAGTCTCACACTCGTTGCATCACAGGGGCTGCTCAATGCACGGATTGGCATCATCCACGGGACCCATGGGTGTGGAGGGCAAGACGTCCTGTGATTGGAGCTGAAATAAAGCCTGACGGGAACAGAGGTGCGCAATGCGAGGACGAAGACCAGTGCAACATAGTTCGTGGTACACTTGGGACAATCCTGATGTGAATTGCTTGACATTGCCGGCCTTGGTTTGGTCATGGTTCGCACAGAGGTCAAAGATCGAAACGTGGGTGAAAGCTTCCCTCTTGAACATCTCTCCTTGCCGCCAGCCGTCACAGATTCTAAATCGAGGAATCGCAGGAGCGGCGATTCCACGCTTCAAGCACATTGCTCAGGCCAAAGCCAAGTCCAACCACGGTGTTGTCATACGACCTCAGGTGACACTTCACACGAACTTCATTCACCCTAGACTCTGTCCACAAGCTTGCAATGGATGAAGGCGAGAATTGCACCTGCGTGTCTAGCTCCAAGCAGAACATGTGCAAGCCTCGTTCCCATGCTGCCAAGCGGCCAGCCACCGTCCAACCCCTTGAAGCCCCTAGTCCACTCTTGCACCAGCGTCGCGTTGGTTCTGAAGCCTCCAGGGGCATCATCTGCAAAGTGTTTGACACATTCGACGCGTCCGGGAAAGTTTCGAGGCCTGATCGGCTCCTCATCTTCTCATAGTTGAGGCCTGTTGGCTGGTGAAAGTTCCTCAGCTGGGCTTCGGCCAAAAGTGAGTCACCGGGCGGTTCTCGGATCTGCGAAATGTATAACTTTGCGTCAAATGAAAACCTTACACCAGCTAAAACGATCTAAAAACCCTAAGGAACCGGAACTCTAAAAGTTCCCACCAAGGTCGCAGGTGTTCCAATCTCCACATACCAAAAACCTGAGACTTCACAAAAGTCCCATCTCACATCGCGGAGCGGGCGAGGCTCTCCGAGGAGTTGTTCCAAAAGGAGCTCTTCAGGAAGCCAGCGTCTTCCAGCAGCAAGACCTCCGGATTAGACGTTTTTGGGTCAACTGCAAAGTTGGGTCTTTTATAAGTTGGGCTTTGGATTGGTGGCTTTTGTTGCTGGGCTTTGGCTGGCTAGGACCTGATGAGCCGCACTGGACTTTTGAGAGACCCCGCAGTGAGGCTCACTGCATGTTTTGAGAGACCCCCCTTGCAGTGAAATGGGTGTGGCTCAAAATTATACAGGGGCAAACCGCAGGTTTTGGTACCCATGTTTCCACTTCCCAGGGCAAGCCACTATGGAATTCCGGTTTTTTGAGCCAGCGCGGTTTATACAAACCCTAGAGAACGGCCAAAAAAAGAAGACTAAGCCCATCTGAGCTAAAAACGTCAAAAAATCATAAGACCCTAGAGAACAGCAAAAGGAAAACGCCACCTGCTCGCTTCCTAAACCCAGCCGCATCTCTCAGGCCTTGAGGCTGGCAGGATCCGCGGGCAGCTTCCTGGAGCTTTGGGGACAAGCTGAGGCCTGGCGCTGGCCTCCGAATCCGGACGTAAGGAAGGCAGAAACGAGGCCTTGAGGTCCCCAAAAAAGGTGCGGATGTACTTCGGGATCTGTTTTAGTTGTTTTGTTGTTTTTTGGCGGGGGGAAAAGGGGGGGGTGGTTTTCGTGGTTCGTCCGGGCCAAAAAAACTTAAGAAACAAAAACAACTGAAGGCCTGGGTGGCACTGACTCCGATGACTCGCAGTCCTCATCATCTCTTCAAGCTTCTTCCTTAGGCGCAGGTGCCATGAAGCTTTGCACTTGACCTGAAATTCAACAGAAACGGATGTGGTTTGACCAGAAATGAAAGACGCCAGTCACTACCAAAGGGGCCGGCGCATCAAGAAACTTAAGCTCATCAAGCATCTCCTATCATTCAACATTCGCTTGGAGCTTGTTGTTGGGGGTTAAAACTTGTTTCACCCTCCCCACCCTCGCACTCTTACATGAGTCCAGGTTCTGTTGCGACTTCAGCATCGAGCTGCTGAGGAACAATGCCTGTCCATCGCCCAATGATGTGCTCGCAAGAAGCAGGTTGATCAATATGTCTGGCCATTTGGGTAACTGTTCA